AAAGCTGTCAGGTGCTCTGACAGCTGAGTCTGGGATTCTAGGCCACAGGCCTCCCTATGGCCCTGATGCTTAAGGGGGTGGTTCTCCCCAGGGAATGTTATACCTAGAGACAGATGCCCACTTGATGCTGGACCACGGTGCCCTGCCTGTTATTTCTGAGAGTCCTTCCCCATGAGCCAAAGCAGAGTCAGGGCCGTGGTCATCTCTCAGTCCTCATCCCAAGGAGACAAGCAGCTGTGTAGCAACCTCTCTCAGACCTAGCTTCCCTGAAGCCTTGGTTCTCTGAGAAAGAGGGTCGATTGCCTCAGTCTGGGGTACTAGTGCTGGAAGTTTGGGAAAGGCTGGCCAAGCCCCCTCTCTCTACACAAAAGCCCTGTCACTTGGATGGCTATAATTATCTGAGGGAATTTCAGGGGTAATTATGGTCCTTTACAGCATGCCTAAAAAGGGCCATGTGCCCCCAAGAACAGCAAGGCGTGGGGCCCAGAAACAAGGATGGGCTTCCTAGGAAAAGCCTCTGCACCTGCAGAGGGGCTGGAAGGAGACACAACAGAGAGGCCATCAGCAGCACCTCATAGAACAGCTTCCTGGCCACAGGAAACACTTCAGGAAGTCCCAGTTCTGCTGCCCTCCTGGAAGAATACAAGCTAGCTTGGTGCACATGATAAGGAAAATCCAGGGTGCAGCTCTCACAGCCCCCCGACACTTCCTGCCAGCCCAGAATCAAGTGTGCTTTAGGGTTCAGTCAAAGGTTCTTGCTGGCCCTGGCAGATGGGGCCCTACCCAGGTGGAGTCCTACAGCTCCCCCAACCAGTGATTTCTAGAAGACAATGCCTGGTAGTGTGGCTATGGACCCAGCAGAATGGCCTCTGCCTGACGCCTCCCTCCAATGGCCTGCCCCCAGCTTCCCAAGCCTGTGTTGGGTGTGAGCCACTGTCAAAGGCTCAGAACCCAGAATCCCTCACAGGACACTGGTAATGACTATTAGATGCTGGTTTGGGCCATGTGTACACCAATCTATCCACAGCCTCATCTCTGGTCCAAAGATGTAGCAGTCCTGCTCAAGCAGCCACCCGGCAGCCCTCCCCACTGTGCCACATGCCCATCTGTAGGCCAGCCCACTGCATCCTCAGACTTTGCCCACCCTAGGTCCATCTACCCAGAAGGTCCTGCTCCAAAGGCACCTGAGGAAGGGGCCCCTAGAAGACACCCGCCCTCCTACATTCCTCTGAACTCCAGTAGGCTTTGTTTTTCTCATTCTCACCCCAGAAAAAGACTCCCAGGACAGGGCCTGCACAGCGCCACCTTTGATGCTGTAGTAAAACAAGGCATGCTTCCCAAAGTGAGAAAGGCCAGGCCTAACAACTAGCCTGAGGGAATTCTGACCAGATGAGCCCCTCTAGCACTTCTGCCCAGTGAGGCCCTGCTAAGCACCCACTGGGTAGACTGTCATTCATGTAGAAGCTTGGGCCAGCCACCTGGGCTTCCCTCTTCCATGTCAGATGAGGAGACAAGGGAAGGGATTGACAAGGACTGCAATATAAGCCACTGTTTAAAAGAAGGAAATCTCACCTGTGAAAGGAGCTGTGAACAAGAAGTGCCTAGGTTCCTTAGGTGCCCTAAAGATTTGGGAAACAGATGACCATCCTGTAGACATGATGAGGAATGTCCCAGGGAGCAACCTCTATGTCTAAGAATGGCAGGGTCCACCTGAAGCTTGGATGCCCCAGTCACCCAATCACTGGATCCCTCTGGAACACATCCCTCTCACTTTATTGCCTCATTATGGGATGTGGATGCCAACAAGTAGGAGCTTGTAACCCAACTAAAGCAGGATGCTGCTCTGCTCAACAACCCCCACAGAATACCACATTGCCCCCAGGAAAGGCCAAATTCCACAGCCAGGCAGGATGCAAGGAGCTCCCCTGCTGGTGACCACTGGGTTCACCAATTTCTGTGCAGGCTGGAATCTACTTTCATCACTACAGCCCTGCTCCTTGATCACAAGGTACACGCACACACAAGGCCTGAACTGCCCTTGAAATCGGTAGGAGGGCCCTGATTTCCCATTCATGAAAATCTGAAAGCTCTAAGACCAAATTCAAATGCCTGAGCCCTGCTGCCATAGTAGGAACAGTGAGAAGCTACTGTTTCAGGTGACTCGGTAGGCCATGTGGCACACTGATTCTAGAGAAACCCCCGTTATCCTAATCAGAAACCTGAGGGTGAGTCACATCACCCCCTTTGTGCTGATTGACTTTTGTCAACTTGACACAAACCAGAGTCACCTGGGAAGAGGAAATTCTTTGTAGTCATGTCTGTGAGGCATTTTCTTAATTATTAATTGATGTGGGAAGGCCTAGCCCACCTTAAGTAGTGCCATCCCTGGGCGGGTGGGCTTTAGCTGTATATAAGAACTGTAACTGAGCAAGCCATAGAAGCAATCAGGTAAGCAGCTTTCCTCTGTAGTATCTGCTTCAGTTTCTGTCTCCAGGTTCATGTCCTGCCTCTCAGTGATGGACTATGACCTAGGAGTTATAAGATGAAATAAACCCTTTCCTCCCTAGGTTGGTTTTAGTCAGTGTTTTATCATAGCAACAGAAAGCAAACTAGGCCAGCCACCTTCCAGAATATAAGCAGGGCAGGTAAAGTAACCAGTCCAAGATCTCATGGGCAGCTGGAGCCGAGATTCCAACCTAGCCTCAATTTGTCTCCCTCTCCAGCCTCTGTATTTGACCCTGAAAAGCTCGGTGGTGGCACCCTCCACAGTCCCCTTAGCTTACCACTTCTCAAGGACTTGCCTAGAACATCAGATGTGCTGCACCATCTTTTTTCACAGCTGAGCCATCTTTTGTATTTAATCTATTCTCCTGTCCTTTATGCAGTCAATGTCAAACAAACACACCTTCTCATCTGGGATTTTCAATCCATCTCGAAAAACAACTCAAACCATACAGACTCAAGGAAGCAGGCTGCTGGGTGCCAAGGAGGCCTGCCCTTTTACCCATTTCCCATACATGTGAGATGTTACCCTCAGGTCCCATGATGGCTGGCGAGCATCAGGCACCGGGAACAAAGCCTCATGATTTCTTCCAGGACAGACAGCCACCAGCTTTTCACCAGGATATATTCCTTAGAGAGATGGGAAGGCTCACCAATGCTCCAGGTAAAGGCCTAAGCTATGCCATACACCCTCCAGTCAGGGATAAGAGGCAAGCTTGTGGGCAGTGAGCTGGAGAGCCACTGGGTCATAGTGCATCTGCTGACCTCTCAGGCCTCTGATGTGGTTTGGATACAGTTTGTGTCTCCTCTAAAGGTTCATGTGGTTGGAAGCTTCATCCCTACAGTTGCAATATTGGAAGTTAATAGAAGCTTTAAGGAGATTTAAGGAGAGGGAATTGGCGGGGGGGGGGGGGGAGGGGGGCCAGGGGGTATGGGACCCTTTTTATATTTTTCCAGGGGGGGCTTTTGTGGGGGGGGGGGGGGGGATGTGTGCTAAGGTCATTGGGATCCTTTGATAGTTTTTACAGGAAGGTTATTATAAAAGGAGCAAGTCTGGTTCCACATAGCTTTTTCTGTTCATGGATTGAGAACATGGCTCAACACATTATCAACTGCTTGTTCCCGTATGTGTTCCTACCAGTATCACCCACCATGGGATGCCCTTTGTCAGAACCTGCACTATACTGTTGAGACTTTAGCCTCCCAAACTGAGAGCTAAATAAGCCTTCACTTTATTATTTATTAAATACTTTATGTGTATGAGTGCTATGCATGCACATATGTCATACATTGCCTGCAGAGGTCAGAAGAGGGTGTGGGATTCCCTGGAACTAGAATTATGGATGGTTATTAGCTGCCATGTGGGTGCTGGAATATAAACCTGGGTCTTCTGCAAGAACAGCCAGTGCTCTTAACCACTGATCCACCTCTCCAGCCCCTAAACCTTCACTTTTTATAGCTAGCTTGTCTAGGTATTTTGTTATAGTAACAAAAAACGGACTAATACAGGCTCCATGACTCATTTGTAAACTGGACTGGCTCATTGTACCCAGCAAACAGCACACAGGACGTAGGACATACCAGGCTTAAAGCCACGTATATGGTGCTTGCCCAATAAATGCTACTCCTATATTCCCATCCCTACTTTCCAGGACTGCCTCAGGCCCTATATGCCAAACTATGCCCACCAGACCCATCAACATAGGAGAGGACATCCAGGTTAGGGTTCAAGACAGCTTAGGCCGTAAGCAAGGTTTATATGGTAAGGCCAGGGGGAGTGTCCTAGCAACACAGAATCGCTCAGCAGTCTCTGTGCCCAGGCAAAGTAAGCACTTTTGCTTAAAATTAAACAAGAACTTTCGGCAGGGAACACTGGAGCAGTAAAGATCACAAGACAGTTACTATTCACATCTTTCCAGAATGTCTGTCTCACACAGACATATACCTTGAAAAGGCAGCATACATGTCTCTAAGGCTGCCCTGCTCCTGGTGGGGTTGAGAAGGGGACACAGTCCTCAGTTGGCAGAAGTTCCGCACAAGGAGGGAGGCTCTGGCTGGGAAACAGTGTGCACCCCACACAGCCCAGCAGCAGCACTGCATATCTCTCTGCATTTGATTAAAGGGCCCTGATTTCCGTTTGTCCCCTTTGCCCTATTACATAACTAGTCCCAGCAAGCAATTCTACACACACTCCTGCTCCCTAACCATGGTGTTATCAAGGTACCTCATCGCCCCCCAGGGGTTCAGCACAGCAAAACAAAATCTCTTGCAGCAGTCAACCACTCTCCTCAAGAGTTTCCTGAGGCTCTTATTTCTTAACCTTTGTTGCAAATGAAAACAAAGGTCCTCCTGAAGATGGCTATCCCTGTGGAACGCAATTGCTTTCTGTGCCAAAGCACTCATCAAGGCAAGACCCTTTGCCCCTTCCTCGCACAGTAATAACCTGTGATCACAGGGGTGGGCCACCTGTCAGGAGGCTGAGCCACATGTGTCCATACCTTTCATGTAGGCCTCAATCTTGCGTATGAGCTCATAGGACTTGGAGCGGTCAAGCAGGGTCCTGATGGCGGGGAGGGGGTCCAGGACAATGGTCTCTGGGTGAGCATCAATGTATTCCTGAAAGAAAAGACCATCTGGGGTTAGAAAGGGAGGCTGATGCTATAACAAGGACAAGGACAAGACTATCCCTGGAGTCCTCCACGCATGACTTTGGCAAACCACCCAGGGCTCAGAAGAGGACATGTGACCCTGAGTCTGTCTTGCTGGGATGCTGGAAAAAAGGTGCTCTCTTACCTCATGGTCAAGAGGCACTGACACTGGGCATCTATGAGCAACCATAGTGGGAATTTAGACAGAGGTGTTGTCAAGGCCTGAGCTCAAAAAGCAGTGCTCATCACAGAAGAGCAATTAGGTTCTGCAGGTCATTCTACCCTTTGGTAAAGCTTTACCTGAACCCAGACCTGGTCTATGTGCTGGCTGCATTCCAATAGAGCTCAAGTCCAGTCTCTTGCACCAATGGATAAGGATTCCAAAGCAAGGCCAGGAAAAGAGTGGCAAGATGCTGCAGTTCATGAGAAATGCAAAGGAAGGTGTGATGGACAGAAATGTGCTACTTACTACAGTCACACCTCTCTGAGCACACTCAATATTGTCAGAAATGTGCCACTCAGAAGAACTTCCCTTCAATACATAGCAGTTTCCTGGTGGCCACTGTGGAATCTCAAGGGAAAAACAAAAATCAGTGAAGAGTCTGTAACTGTCCTCAGAGGGAACAGTAACTTACATGGGAGACAAGATGGTACAAAGCAACTAAATAAGATGCAAGGCAGAGGGGTTGGGGAGATGGATGCTCTTCAAGCATGAGGACCTGAGTTCAATCCCCAGCACCCACGTAAAAGAAAGGCATGTTGGTGTGTGCACACTTGTAATTCCAGCACCAGAGATGGGGAGACAAATGGATCCCTAGGACTTGCTGGTCAGTAAGAGACCCTGTCTCAGAAACAAAGGTGGGGGCTGGAGAGATGGTTCAGCGGTTAAGAACTCAGCTGGCTGTTGGCTCGGCGAGGTGGCACACGCCTTTAGTCCCAGCACTCAGGAGGCAGAGACAGGCAGGTGTCTGTGCGTTCAAGGCCAACCTGATCTATACGGTGAGTTCCAGGCCAGCTGGGGCTACAGGGACACCATGACTCGAAAAGACCAAGAATACTGGCTGTTCTTGCAGAAGACCGGGGTTTGAATCCCGGCACCCACAGGGCAGCTAACAACTGTCTATAACTCCAGTTCCAGGGGATCCAATGCCCTCTTCTGTCTTCCAAGAGCATTGCATGACACATGTGTACTTATATACATGCAGGCAATATACACATAAAAAAATAAAAATAATAAATAAAATATATAAAAAAAACAAGGTGGATGACTCCTAAGAACAGTAAGCCCTACTCTCTCTCTCTCTCTCTCTCTCTCTCTCTCTCTCTCTCTCTCAGAAGAGATGATAGAGGGTTTCAGGGGAAGGCCCTTTACCATGGGAGTGGGCTGAACAGCCACCCCCAAACACTTGTTTAAGCCCTAACCCTCACAGCACCTGTGAATACAGTCTTATTTGGAAATGGGGTCTTTAGCTATTATCAGGTTAGGATGAGATCATACTGGGTATGGGTGAGTCTGCATCCATGGATTGATTTCCTTGTAAAATGGGAGAAATCTGAACAGACACTGGGAGAAGCCACCTAAAGAAGAGCCACAGAGCACTAAGGATCACCCGAGGGTGGGGGCCAGATCCCCCCTCACCTCAGGAGGCAACCAGCCTTACTAACATCTTGATTTTAGACTTTCAGGCCCCAAACTGACACAACTAACTTCACCAGGCCCATGGTGGAGACAGCGCTGACAAATTAACACATGAGTTTACTTCACCCACTGTTCCCGCCCCAGTCCACACACCAGTCTGGGGTTAGCAAAGGGCAGGGGGGGAAAGCCACAATGCCTCTTCTCTAGTAAACTTTATCAACAAAAAGAAAGATCCATTTGGATGTTTGTTTGCTTTTTTCCCAGCAAACCTATTTTGGCTTCTAATAGCACTTTAAGAGCATTTGAGGCAGAAGGCAGATTCATACGCATTTCTTGTCTGAAATTGGCCTTCCCATGAACTCTACCCCACAGGACCTGGTTCTGTCCTTTCCCCTAAATGCTTAAAAGTTCCCTCTGTCCTTCAGTGGTGGCCATGTGCCACGTGGGGTGCCTCCATGCCAGCACCTGCTCTCTCCTGAGGGCTCCCCTCACCATACCACCACTTGATAGCCGCTTTTGCAGATCTGTGAAGAATGGTCATTGCCCACTGCCTCTCTTTTCTAGACTCAGGCTCACCCAAGAGCTGTGCCAGAGCCCAGTCTCTTCCACTGGGTCTTCCTGTAGGTGAGCATTCCTGCTGGCACCTTCCTTCACCACAGTGTGCTTCCATGTGAGCTCACATTTGCCGGCCCTCCCCATCCTGCTCACACATCCCTACAAAACATCACTGTCTAATGCCAGAGGTTGTCCACTCTGTAGCTGCTGCTGTAATCACTGACAGCACTGGGGTAATCTTGCAGGTGCAGTAGATACACGGCAGAGTGGGAGTCTCTACACTTGGTTTCCAAGCTCCCCAGTCCTGGTCTGCCCTAGAAATCACGGTCCCTCATCCCCCCACCCCACTGTATCCAGAACCAGCCTGGTGTGGCAGGAGGAGCATATGGGATCAAAGTGGCCAGCCACTGGGCTTCTCGGGGTCTCTGAGGACTTCCTTCAGATGACCCTGTAGGTCCCTGTACAGATGGCTTCAAGTTCCACGAATCTATTGACTAGAGAAACTAGAGGAGCGGGGTTTCAAGGTCACAGGGCTGCCATGAAGACAGAAAGATGACAGTTTGCTGGGGGCACTGCAGGTGACAGAGGGCCATGTGCACTTCCTGCCTTCTTCACTGAGGCTGTCAGAGACACTTATCACACAGGGGTGGCCTGTTTACCCCCAGCAACTGAGGCTACCTGAACACAGACACACATTTCCCTCCCTATGCCCCCAACAAAGCTCAAGCTGGCCCCATGTTCTTGCAGAAGGGCAGTGACCCTTAGAGAGAAGCTCAGTTTCACGAAGGCAGGAATTTAAGCCAAAAATCAAGAGGAAAAGACGCCACATGAAACTGAAGGAGGAAATAATCTGACAAGCAGGTGCCAATAAGCTCTGGGCCTGGGATGAAAGCCGTGGTACACACAGAAGAATCTGCAGAACCAGATCTCTCTGGAGACGGGAACAGAGGGGCAAAGATTTCTTCCAACTCCTCTGCTATCACAAGTGTATTTTCCTCTAAGCCTTTCAGCTTATCTATTGTATCGGAGGCCTCATGAATTTTTCACAAGTCTCTTAGACTTACCAAACAAATTGCTGGAAGAAAGACCCAAACCATCTCCATGGCAAATGGTAAACATGTGCTCCCTCAGAGGGCTGGCCTGCCAAGGGGGACCAGAGTGAGATCCTGAAGTGAACATGGAGAGCCTGGTCTTTATAAGGACAGCTGGATCCAGTAGGTCAGGAGATGGTGGTAAGTTCCACTGTTAGAAGAGACAAGGGGGCAGAGGCTACCTAGGTGCCCAGTCAGAGCACAGGATGACCTAGGCCCATGGATGATGTCAACGGGGGTGCTGACAACACATACTATGGGGTGAGGGGGAGACACAGTGACCCCACTGTGAATCCAAGTTGCATGAGAAGGCTGAGGGAACACAGAGGTACTACTTCCTCTGCAGTTTCATGTGTAAGGGCAGAGATGGACGATTTGTTCTCCATAGAAAAATGACACCAGTTCAAATCTTACCTGTATCACGTCTTCCCCATCTGGGAGCAGGACTCTGAAGTTAAATGTGCAATTCTGTGGTGTGACCAGTGCTCTGGATAAAACTACCCCAGGGGGCTGCTAGGGTATCCAGGCGATACACAGACATGTAAGCAACAGGCACAGCACAGAAACAAGGGTGCTGCAACATAGGACCGAGCAGCCCTGACCCAAGGTCTCTGGGTTCACCCTGTCCCATGAAGCAGACTCAAGATCAACAGCCCTGCACTGGCTATGGCCTGTGGCCACCCTGCCTCTGATGTCTTGAACATGACACAACTCCTTTCCCCTACCCGACACACATAGCAGCACAGTCCTTAAGCAGGACTATGTCCCCTTGGGGACAGCTCGGGTCCTGGCAGAGGACTGAGTCTACCACAACTGACAGGTCTGTTGGCTCTCCTGGGAGGCAGAAGAGACACTCACCCACAGTGCTTGGCTCCTAGAGTCTTGGGAAGTAATAGATATGCCATCTCCCAAACTTAGCAGGGACCTTTCCAGAAAGCACTGATTTCTTGAAGATGCATATCAAAATTATTTGCAGCTAAATGTGTCTGGGGTTTTCTGCAAAACAACCAAATACAGGGCATGAGGAGAGAAAGAGTGTGGAAAACCCAATTGGATAGGAGCTGCCAGAGGTGACACCGCAGGACTCTGGGGAGCAGCTTACCACAGTGTATTCTGTAAGCTCACTTTCTTCAACACCAAGTCTGCAGAGCGTGGTAGAGCACAACTAGCTCTTCCCCTTCTGTCCCCACTCCAGAGATGTGATAGAAGGGAATTCAAATACCAGTATAATCTCTCTAGACAAAACTGGAGGCAACTACCAAGATGCAAAACACAATGAGACATTAATTACAGACAACAGCAATAATAAGAAAAATCATAATCAATAGTGTAAAAATGAAAGCGGCGACATCTGGGGCTTGCAAGAAGCTCAGTGCTAAATAAATTGGTTTTCTTTCTTTTTAAAATTTATTTTTATTTTTTATGTGTATGAGTGTCATACCTGCATATGTGTAAGTGCACCCATGTCGTGTAGTGCCTGCGAAGGACGGAAAAGAGTGTCGATGATGCCCTGGAACTGGAGTTATGGACAGTTGTTACCCACCATGTGGGTGCTGGGATTCAAATCCCAGTCTTCTGCAAGAAAAGTCAATGTTCTTAACTGCTGAGCCATCTCTCCAGTCTGATAAATTGGTTTTCAAACACCATTTCTTTTAATACAAAAATCCTATAGGGCAAGCTGGG